TCCAAACTGTAAGCTTTCGCCCTCTAACCACTACCGTAACCCTTGCTTATACATCTAGTTCGACTCGGCAGCTCCCATGACTTTTCGTAAACGATCATGCATCTTCCTGTCAGATATTGCAATTTGAAGCATTTGCAGCAGTCGACCATTGCGCCACTCCTTCGCAACCCATTTTGAAGGCTGAATGCCGTGAGACACCATTTCATCTTGAGTTTTTGCACGTGCGCCTGCAGCAGTGTTAGTTGATGGGTTTGCATTTTTGGGTTGCAGTCGGTGCCGGTTTTTGATCAGTCACCAGATGACTAAAATGATAATCAGCCACATTAGGCGTAACCAATAGTGGGCAGTTTGAGTACGTCACTTTACGTACACCGTTCACGATCTACTTCGAGGTCACCATCACCACCAAGGTCACGATGTTGCTGTTGTTCACAAGTTTAACCCCACATGAACATGATGGAAACGAGCAATGACCTGAGTACAGCAGTGAACGCAGAGGTGAAAAACGTTGGAGTAGATTCGCAACTACAGATGCTACGATTACGACGAAGGCTAATTATAATCGCTTAAGTGACTGCTCAACGAAACTGCGGCATCAAAAGATGAAAAACCGATTTTCATGTATTCGCTTTTTACAACAGAAAATGTAAACTATTATTTAGGCACGTGGTGAGGCTGCCACGAAAATACGAAAGACTCACTTTTTGGAACAGCCACGGAAATACGGCCCTGGAACAGACCGCAGATCATAGGGCATGATCATACAAAAGATGCGATACTCTCGCTCCCTACAGTCCAGACCACCTACTTTGTTCGTTTGGCAGTGGAACGGAACCAGGTCTCCTAAAGCAATTATCCCATCGCCTCCCCCCTCCACACAACTAAAAGAAATGGCGGGTTTTGAAAATGAATGAATAAATAAAGTGAACACCTCATTTATCCCAATATCCGTATTTGCCGCTGAAATGAGGTGAGATTCCTGCTGATCCAGAAAGGACATGCTCAGTAATTTATCCTGCCATTCACCCCTGATCAGAGGTCTTTGAACGTGGTAAATTTAGGTATTATCACGCAGGTACCCTAGAATTAAATTTTTTTTATTAAAACTTCTCTGATGCCTACAACGACAAGGAATGATGTCATAAAATACGTCTACGGTATGAAATTTTGCTTTTAAGCGGTAATTCTTCTGATAACAGGTTGGGCCAGACCATAGCCAAACATCTGTGCTTACCCACATAATGACTCACTGTCACAGACAGCTGTAAGAGACTCCACCTGCCCCCTAGATTAATTTG